AAAAAAAAAAAACACACGCAAAAATAATGTAATAAAAATAATAAATGCGTCATGTACTGCTTTTTCTAAAAAATAAATATGAATAATCAAATATCTTTCCCAGCAGTAATTCTGATTAAAGATCGACAATTTTGTACACAATTATTGCAAAAATTTCACGTAAGAAACTATGATAATTAATGAATACAATAATTGCTTACTTTACTTATAAAAATCAGCAAATAAATAATAAATATTAAAATATATAAACAAAATTTAGAGTATTTAAAATTGAATGACTGACTGACTGACTAATTTCTAAAACGTTTGATTCAAAAGTTGTACAATTCAGTGTCATTCACTTCTTTTTTCACTGTGAATCACTAAGCAAAGTGCCATTTGCCAGCAAACAATCAAGTGAAACTAAGTGTTAACATCGTAGATGATAACGCTATCAAAGGCAAGCAGAACGAAAATGCAGCAGTCAAGTAAATTTTAAAAAAAACTTTTTTTTTTTTTAAATAAAAATATAATCTTTAAGAAATGAGAATTTTAGCAAATGGCAACACATTTATTTCTTTTTGATTTTGCATAAAATATTTTTTTTAAGTAAAAAAAAATAAGTAGTGAATATTTTTGTACGAAAAAGCAATTACAAAGTATGCAAATGAATCTTTCCATAAAATTATGCATTAAAAATTAAGGTGAAAAAATGTTTGAGTTTAATTATCACACAAAATTATTATTTTTGTAATAAAAAAAAATTGAAGCAAAATTTTCACCATTTAGTACTACTAAACAAATAAAAAGATGTGTGCATAGACATGTAAAAACGATTTTGACTAAATAATAAAAATTTGGCAAATATAAATATTTACTTTTGCAGACAAAATTTGTTTTCACTCTATGGAAAACATAGACTTCGATCGTTTTAATTGCTAAATAATTACTCATTTATTGCAATGAAATAAAAATGTATAATTTCAAATTTAGTTAATTATTTAGTTAGTCAATTATTTTACTTAATTTGTGATTATTTATTTACTTATTAATTTTAAACATCAATTAATTCATTTGCATGGTTGCAGTATTGATATAAATGATTGCTACCAAGCGTAACGGTGCTAAATTTTAAGTTCTGGAGGTATGAATCAACAACTAGTTCTCAACAGCGTTTTAATCTTTTTTCGTCAAAATATGCTGTAGAATGAATATTTTTTAAACCCCTCAATTCATATTTCTCTTTCAACTATTTTATTTTTTAAAATCAATTAAGTAATTCTACAAGATCAATTAATTCCACAATTAAGTCCATGATCTTAGACTAAACCTAGTAAAAACAAATATTTATTATTACTTTAGTCACTATTTGGGACAAATAATAATTTATCCAAAAAAGCATTGACTATTTAATTTTAATTTTAATATTTATTTTTTATGTTTAATAACTTAACGTATATTGTAATAACTAAATTTTATGACGCAAAAATTAATATTATTCCTTGAGTTTGATTTTTATCATACTGTATTTAGAAATGATAACTACTATAACTTTTATCAATTTTTTTAAATGTCATTTTCTCATTAAAGTAAAAAAAGCATTTCTTGCCATTTAGTCAAAAATAAAATTTTTAAACAATTTTTTTCATTTTAAAAATCGAGAATAAGTGTATATAAAATTGAATTGTAAAAAACTATAACTGTAAATTATTATAACTAAAAATACTTGTTACTGTTAAAATTTGTTTTCTACCCTTCATGTCATGTTACTAAATTTAATAAAAAAATAGCAAAATAAAAATGATATTTTTAGTAACAGAAAGAGTATAATCATTATTTTTAATTTTCATGTCTAAAGATAATTTAATTTTAGTTCTTATCACAATTAGTGACTTAATGTATATTGTTTTTAAATAAATTTGGGATAAAAATATTCATATGTGATAGTATGCAAATTTTCTTTGATAAATTTCAATAAAACAAGTACAACAAATGCAAAAATGCATGCATGCAAACTCAAATTCATAAAACCATACTTTTCAAATTATAAAATTTAATATTGGATGAACAAATTTTTGGAATTTGATTTATAACTTGCTATGAATAGTAATTTTCTCATGTCAAGTAAATTTTAAAATTATTAGTCAAATTATAAATCAATTTTGCACATAATTGGAAATATGGATATGTATTGATGATCTCTGAGAAGTCCTAGAAAGAAAGGATAAAAGTAACGATTTAAAACATATAATAAAGCAAATTCTCATGTCACGATTCATCTATTTGTCAGTTGACATACATCGCTTTCACTAAACTTTTAGTAATGTCACATTTCAAACATTTTTTGGCAGTATTACTATCCAAATCTCAAATACATTTTTCTTGCAAAAAAAATCACCAAATTATTTCAATCAAATTAATAAAAATCGCTTTTTGTATTTTTTCAAGTTTTTATTTTTATAAATATTTCATTCACAACTTATGATAGTAAATGTAATAGTTTCGTTATGCTAAAAGTTGAATTTTGTTTAAAAAAAATTATGTAAAATATTAAGTAACTGTCAACTTCTGCATTTATTTTGAGCATTACATTTTATTCAAAGTAACTGACGCACTCAGTCATTCCATTAAGTAATCGTTTTATTTCAGTCCTAATTTTTTCTTAATCATTACGTCAGCTGAATGCATGTAATTTTAATCATCACGTAATCTAGCGAATATATTTTGCTATCATTAATTTGACATTAGTAATAAGTGTAATTTTATAATTTATAAAATAGTAAAATTTTTACCAATTTATAAATTTTATTCATCTTGTGCTTGCTGGTTAAGAAAACTTTTTTAAACCTATATTTACAAATACACATTTTTATTCTTCACGACAGCAATAGGCAACATTATTTATTACTACTAATAATAATAATTATAATTATAGTTATAATTATAATTATTATTATAAAAATTTTAAATAAGCTTATTTTCATTAAGAACCAAAATTTAGATGAATAATGAATAAGATTAAATTTCAATGGTAGAAATAACTGCAGAAATTTATTTTCGATCTAATTGTACATTAGCTATTGACAATTATATTTGCTATTATAGTCAATAGCTATTGTACATTTAAATAAAAAGTCAAAATAAAAAATAATAATAACAAGCTAGCGCATCCGCGTTCGGTAAAATAAAAAATTATTACGTGATTGCTGTTTTCCACATGTTGGCAGGGAATTAACTAACGTCCATTCCTTAAAAGCTTTCAACTGTGAATAAATAAATTTACATAAAAATATTCTAGTAGACAGCATAGTGAAGTATGCAAAAGGTGCGCAAACTTTTTAGTGAAAACAAGAATGACATTATTTAGAACTTTAAGGAGATGCATTCAATTTCTGGGAGATATTTTAAATTTAAACGAAAAACATATAAGGATGGATGGATGGATCATTTTATTGGAAAGCAATAGTTATGTAATTACACATAAATATGTATATTCATGTATGCAAAATGAGGAAATTGCAGGGTGCTCAGAAGCCTTGAAGTGCGCTCTCGACTCTCGACTCTCGATTCCCGACCTTGTAGCATGTAATGCCTTCTGATACTCTTCTTGCAATAATTTAAACTTTTCTCATTTAAGTTTAATCAATTAGTTACTTGTAGTACTGAACTACAAACTAATCATATCATTTTTTTTTCAATTCAATATACTACTAATAAGCTAAGTCATGCAATCAAAGAATACTAAATTTTCTCTTTAGTATATTTTGAAAAGAAAAAATTTTTGCACTAGTCAAAACAAAAATAAACACTTAAGCTAATAATCATATACATAAGAGAGATGAAAAATGTCTTTTTGACAGTTAGCATAAAATAAAAATCATAACTCAGCGGGGAATAGAATTAAAGTATCTCAGACAAATTAAAGTAAACTCTCTGAGATTTCCCGGAGGAATGCTCTCTCTGATAGCAATGCATAGTTTTTTGCTCAATCCTTTACTTCTTCATTTTCTCGCACTCAAATCTGCAAAAAAAAATTTACACAAAGCAATGTCAAATTTCCAATACTCGCATTTCACTGCACAACTACTTACTTACATATCTAAGCATATTTGCTTCCATTCATCCATTTTTACATCCATACATTACTACTACCTATGTATATGCCCGCACGTACGTGTGTATATGTCCATATGTACATAGGCTTGTGTATGTGTGCGTGTGTGCGTGTGTGCGTGTGTGCGTGTGTGCATGTGTGCGTGTGTGCGTGTGTGCATGTATGTATGTGTGCATGGTACATACATACACTATTAAGAAGAATATTGTGTGAATGAAAATGTATTTTCAGAATTCAAAGATGGCAATTTATGCAATGCAGTAGCATTTCAATAAATTGTAGTCTTACGCAGTATGCAGTTTGTTGCTAACATTTATTAAGACTAAGAAAATAAGAATTTATTAGAGTGAATGCAAAAAATAGAGAAGTAAAGAATGAGAAAATGCTTACTTTAACAAAAGCATATATCAATGTTATGTGGTAGTGTGTAGTTTCAAATGTAGCCATCTTAAGCTACATACATTTCACGTCTCTTTCTACTTGTTTACGTACGTTTTCAGTCATTTTTTTAAATGTAATTTTCTTCTTTTTTCCTTCTTAATTGTAATTATATATTGTATTAATAATTTCGTTTTTAAAAAGTAATTAGATTTAATGTTTGGTATGAATAAATAATGATATACGTGTGTTACATGAAAATGATTAATAATATAAATGAATCAAATCAATGTATATAATTCATTAGATGGGGGAGGCAATTGTGACATGCGGGTCATGTTTGGCTTTCACGAAGATAGACTTAAAGATTCGTCATTGCTAAGCCATTTACTTGGTACATGCATACAGTGCTCATTCTTTCATTCATTCACTCATTCACTCATTCATTCATTCACTCATTCACTCATTCATCAATCTATCAATCTATCTATGTGCTCGTCCATCCATTCATATATTCGTCCTTTACGTTTAGCCTTGCCTTCTTTTTCTTTTTTCCTTCCGGTGCATGCCTGCCATTTATGCTCCCTCAGTCCAACATTATCCTTTTAGCATAACTACGAGGATAAATTTTTTATTTTGCTGAAATAATCTTATATACGTGAAGCATAAGTTCACGTCATATATGAATAATTTTTACTTTTACAAGTATACGTTTAAAAAAAAGAAAAAGATTAACAATGTAATATAATATGACGTTGTGATGTAATTGTAGTATAGACTTACATACCTACTCGCTTAGTCACTTCATCACTTACCACTACTACTAATTCGTTGACTCAAAATGCAATCCATGCAATTGCTTCTCTGCGTTCCGCCTTCCTTTTTTCTTGGATGCATAAAAACATTCTTCCTTGCTTTTCTTAAATCCATAATTAAAAAAAGATTTGTTTGCTTGTTAGTTAAAAGACTGATGCCATCTAAAAGTAAGTAAGTAAGTAAGTACGTAAAGTAAAGTTAGTAAATAAGTCACTTAGACAGTGCTTACTCGATTGAAGCTTTAAGCTGCTAAATTTATAGTATATATTCAAAGACACTTAAGGTGCTTTTTTGAAGTTTAAAAAACAGCAAAAAAGAATAATCCCATATGGGAAGTCATAAAAAAACGTTGTCTTCTCACTCTCTTACTTATGTAAGTTAAAAATCTCCACTATCATTACTTATCTCCAAAAATTCCTTCATTATTGCTCACAAAATGTGCATTGCTGTACGAGAAGAAATGCCTTTAATTATTATTTTTTGCCAATTTAATTTTTATAATATTTTAAAAAAAAAAAATTGTATATTAAATAATTTGTAGACTACGTGATGTCATATTTTTAGTGTTTAAATTTGAAAAAAAAAGAAAAACGACTGCTACTAATTGCTTGCTTATTTATTATTCTTTTCTATTTCATCATCATCATCGTCTACATTTGAGCATTTCGAAACACTCTAATATTGATTACAAGTATTCTTTACTTGAATTAATTATTTTTAATCAAATTTTTTAAGCTTATCTGTTGTTATCCAATGTTGCTTTAATTTATGATGATGAAATTTGCCCTCTCTTTCATAACACATCATCTGTAAAAGTAACATTTTAATATTTATAGCTGATTAAAGATGAAGAAGAAAATGCTTATTTGATATATTTAATAAATTTTGATAAATTATAATGTTATTAAATCGTTGGTATTATTTTTGCACTACAGTAAAACGTAAGTACGTATAATGATATTAAATCGTTGGTATTATATATAATGATATTAAATCGTTGGTATTATTTTTGCACTACAGTAAAACTTACGTTACGTAAGTAATCGAAAAATTTTTCAAGTCTTATAATAATTGATGTTTCAGTGTGTTAAAGATGAAAACTTTTCAGATTTGCTTCCCTCTTCCGCCTGCTCACATTTAGTTCATTTAGTCAAAATATTGCTCAGCTTGTGCTTTTCTTTTTCAATTTTTCAATTTCTCATTTATCACTTTTTATTTTCTTCGTTCTAATTCCAACACTTTGTAATGGATGAGGAGATATTCTCATCATTACGAAGAAATAGTTCAAATGTCACTTAATTGTTAAATTTAGTTTCTTGTTTATTCGCTATTTACAAATTTTTATTGATACAAATTTAAAGTAGATATACTTTCAAATTCGTATTAATTAAAATATTTCACATTCATTTATAACGTGTAATTTCAAATATTCATGAATCCTTCCATAATTTTGATTTTTACAGAATGATCAGATGTTACGATTACGTGTATTATATGTCTGTATATGGTAGTTTGTTAAAATCTCGCATAGAATGGTGGTATTATGATTGGTACTGAAAAACAGTAAATTTTTACTGATTACTGACAAAATTTTTCATTATGTTAAAATTGATATCCCTAAAATCAGTAAGATTGGCAGCAGCATGTTTGTTTGAAGATTGCTAATTTGTTTTCTTTCGTTGAGACCAAATACAGAGGAAGACAAATTATTCTGGTTTTTGCTGTCAATATATTTGTGGGCGAAAATTTGCAAATTGACATTTCTGTAGCCGTAGTATAGCTTTTATTAAATTAGCACCAAAAAATTCTTAATAATCAGTCTATACTTGATAAATAATTTTAGACAACTCTGTTAATGATCCAAGCAATGCCATAATTACTGAAGATTAATGTGTTAATATTATGGCAGCAGAAGGGCATAACTTTGATGCGACATTACTGGCAGTCGGCCGAGATCATGGTCACTATTTTATTCGTAAAACATTTGGTAAACCCACGTATTGCCATCATTGCTGTGATAAAATATGGGGAATGCTCACGCAAGGATATGCATGTGAAGGTTTGTTATTATCACTTGAATTTGTTCTTTTTTTTAGAAATTTCAATAAATTTTTTTATTTAGCGAATTTGAGAAAATATTTAAAATATTGAATACAGTTTTTCGCTTGCTTTATAATGCACTTTTGTTAGATGTATGTAGTATTATTAGTAGCTATAAATCAGTTTTATAAACAATTAAAAGATAATTTTTCAGTTTGTAATTTCATATGTCACGACAAATGTATGAAAACTGTTGTTTCATATTGTAGCGGTGTAGCTTTGCAATTGATAAAGGCAATCATTATTTAATTTATTATATTTTTGTTTTCTAAAATTTTTGTTGATCTAAAGTTTATGCTGGTCTGTAGTGTAAATTAGGATGATGAGTAGTGTTTTTCCATTAAATTTGTCAGCAAGATGCTAAATGACATCTATAAGACCAAGCTGTTGGTAGCCCAAATTGCTCACATTCTACTTTCACAATGGTGCAATGATTTTATCAAAAATTCTGCATTAATTTTATAAATTACTTGACTACTTGTATGTTATTTAATTTTGCTGCAGTGTTAGTTTCTATTTAATTTTGGCTTGTTAGTTCTTTTAGTGTCTTAGAAAAGATTATTCAGTAGCACTTTGCTTTTTATGATTATTGGAACAAAACTAATCACTAATGAATAAAATAAGTCAATTATTTAGGTTTTTAAAAAGTTTCATATTTCTTATCATTATGGTATTTGTTTCAGAATCCAGTAGCACATACATGGTCCGAGCCTTCGCATATAAAACGACGTTTTTGCTGCGTTTGTCGGAAGAAAACAGATGATTCAGTGGCTGTCGAGTGCGAAGGTATGAAAATATCTTAAACCAAATACATTTTATAAATTTGCTCTATCAGAAGTTTTAATTGAGTATTGAAAAATTGAAGTTTTCAAGAGTGCAGATGATATTTTTCATTAACATTGATCAAACTGCTGACGGAAAATATTGCTTTCTAAACACTGTATTTAACTTTAGATTAATTGAAAACTTATCAGTTGTAAATAAAACTGAATTGTTGAATAAATCATTAATTTTAGTTTGTGAATATTATGTACACGTTGATTGTAAAGACTTGGCAGTAAGTGACTGCAAAGAAGCTGCAACATTTGTACCAAACTTGGATAAGGTACATTTTTGTAGTTACTTTTTTTTCTCATTTCTAAGGTTCTATTACATTTTTGTACAACTCATGATTTTTTGTTTTCCTGTACAATCTTGTATTGAAGTTACTAAATAAGTTCCTATTTCTTGGTTTACATGATGTGGAAATTTATGATTTTTTAAATAATTGATATTTTTTTGCGAAAAAACTGACTTGAAAATGAGGTTGTTGGTAGCCGATCTGTTTAATAAAACTCTGGATATAACTGTTATCTTTTTGTCAGTATACTGCACTTAAATTTATATAGACTGTAGTATAATAAAAGACTGCAGAAACTACCTTTGTGTGTTTGGCGTTGAATTTTGTATCAATACAGGAGTGATTGCATGAGCATATTTTACATGGAATGATAAAAGAGAAATATTTCCGATCTAAAAACATTAAAACAAAAAAAAAAGAAGATAAAAAAACTTAGCTCATGACGTAAACTAAGTACGAAATAAAAAAAACTGAAACCCTAATATTTTTAAAATTCATTTTTTATTTTATTTTTTATTTTTTTGGCTGTTAAGCTGAAAAAATAAAAAAATTCTTAATAGCTTGATGTTTGTATACTGTAGAAGGGAACTTTTTGACAAGATAAAATGGAAATATTTCATGAGCTATTAGTCCGAAAGGACAAAAATTCATAAGTTTTTGAGCTGAAGAGCTAATTTTAAGAGCTGTTATGGCAACTCACTGACGTCTGTTCACGTCATGAGCTAAGTTGTTATTCAAAGAAAATATTGAAAGGAAACGAGGAATTTTTGAATAAGTACTTTTCAATTGCAAGAAAGAAAAGCAATTTTTATAGTTGTCACATAAAGTACACACATATATGACTTGAAGCTTTTTCAATTTTCGTAACTTCTCTATTATTCTCTCTTTGGTTGATAAAAATATCTGTTCATCCATGGATAAAATAAAAAAAACAGTTCATTCTAAATGCAAGAATTGAAATGATAAAAATGATATTCTGAATTAGCATCATATAAGTATCCTAATAATTGTTTTACAATGTTTTATATGCTTTTCCTTGAAATTCAATCTTATATTTAAAAAATAAAAATTTTAAATTCATGTACATTAAAATGAGAAAGGTTATTGAAATTTTGTGAAAAAGAGAAAACAGTAATATGGAAATGATAGCAAAAATGTATTCCGAGAAATTTTTGAAATACTTAGATCATTTTCATTTTATGTAAATGATCAAAGTATTTCATTCTCATCTATCTTCTGACAGCATTTTTATATTCATTCATACTGATTCATCTGAGCTGCAAATGATTCATAAAATGAGTATGAAAATGCCCATTACCTGGACAATGAGTATCCAGAAAATAAAAAAAATTAAATGTCCTCCCGCACTATTACCTTGTGGTATGTTTGTTTTAGCATGAATTTGAAATTGAAACGAAACAAAATAATTTAGTTAAAATTGTTCCATATGTAATCTTTTTTATTATAATTCTCTTAAAAGTATTCATCATTCGTGATATAACATTGATTCATTAGTTTCAATATTATATTGTATGAATAAATATGATATGCTGAACTGTGCATTTATTAAATATTGTATAGGATAATAAACGAAAAAAATTTAAGATACAATAAATTATAATTTATTTTTTGTGTAGAAGAAAAGTTATGAGGTTGTGTAATGTATATAAAAAGTATTTTCGATTTACTTATGTGCTATTTGAAGAATTCAATCGAACCGGAAGAGTATTATAAAAAATCGAAAAAGTCAAAAATATGTTCGTGTCAAAATACAAACTGTTTCAGTTCGTTTTGACTTCTACAAACTATAACAATGATATAATTTTTGAAAACTGCAAATAACTTTATTTCAGATAAGTTATTGGGTTTTTTAATTTTGCGCTTTTTCAGAACAAACAAGTTCAGCATCATCATATGCGAGAAGGTAATTTGCCCCGTGATTCTAAGTGCGTTATATGCAAAAAAACTTGTTGGTCTTATGAATGCTTAGCTGGTATGAGATGTGGTTGGTGCTCAGCAACTGTAAGTTTGATTATTTTTTCAATGTAACTTGCTGTGTTTTGCATCTTACAGAAATAACTTTAGAAGTACTGTATAAAATTGACTTTTTAAAAATCTACAATGAAACTAACAAATAAATGACATGAATTCAGTGAGTGTAACAATCATTCAGATATCAAAATTAACAGATTAGAATTTAAAATACTGAATGTTTAGCAAAATATCATTTTTTACTGGTAGTAATCACATTATTATACTGTACAAATTGACGCTGATTGCGACTATTATTATTTATGTGACTGATAGTATAAATTATTATTCAAAAAAAATAAGACGAAATTATTTATTCATAACATTTCTATAATATTCTTGACAGCATTTGTCTAACAAGATTAACAATCCTTCAGTATTAAATACTTTATAAAGTGCTGTTTATTACCTTCCTTTTTACGGTTTATTATTGGCTGAGAATTTGGCATTGAATTATGATGCAGAAAATTAAAACGGCATTTACGTAAAAAGCAAAATGACTTGCATTCAAAAACAAAAAAAAAACAAGAGGGGTTGAAATCTAAAATAATTGAATACTCTGATATAATTTCTAGGCTCATGCAATTTGCTATCGTCAAATGTCTCTTGAGTGTGATTTTGGTGGATTAAGGAGAATTATGCTGCCGCCTAATGCCTTAACAATTCCGAGAACTGAACTTCCCATGGAGCAGTTACTGAATATTCACGGCACATATCATGAAGGCTCTAATCAACAACGTATGTACTGTAATTTCACATTTTATTTGTTAATTTTTATTTCCATATTTTTCTTTTGATTCTTTTCATGCAACCTTTAGTACCATTTCTTGCTAGAACAATGCTTTGAAAAAAAAATAGTATTTTGCTAGAATTACATTTGCAGTTTTAGAGAGCTGTAAGTAAATCGCATGTGAGTGTAAATTTAGTTCTTATTCACTTTAGCATCTTCACCATTAAAAATGCTACAAGACGAATCGGAATTCAATTCTTCCAATGAAGTAAAGGAGAAAGAAGACTACGAAGTCTTGCGTATTTATGATGGTAACAGTTCTCTTAGGCAGCATATTTATCGAACTGCTTCGGTGCCCAAATCAGCATCTGTACAGCAAATACGAGTAAAGTTTTGATTTTTTCCGTTTTAAAATTGCATTTGTATTTGTATTTCTGGCTTATTTTGAATTGTGAATAGAAAATAGGGCTGATTCGTGAGAAAATTTCGAGGTATCGAAGGATTCGGAAACTTTTGATTTGAGAAAAATGACTGAAAAAACATGCTTTTGCGTGAATTTCTTCAAAAAGATACTTTTTTCCTAAGTTTCTCCGGAATTTGTAAGTAATTCGGAAATATGAAAAAAGTACTTTCTCATCCACCTAAATGTTTTGCTTTATTCTATTGACTGCAATTTTTTACAATATTTTTCGTAGAAAATCAAAAAAGTCCGTGCAATTTCTGTGGAAAGATTAAAGAATTTTCCCCTAAAATAAGAGATTACATTGTATTTACTCCACGACAATTGTAGTTTTAGTGTTATTTTTTTGCGATTATTTTGCAAGTTGCTACTAATGATTAATAAAATTTCTTTGATTCAGATTTAAGGACCCTTGGTGAATGTAAACTGCATTTCAGGATATTGCTCTGCGACGGTTTCATATAAGCGATAATTCGGATTGTTATTACATTACACAAATAATTGACGATAGTAAGCATTTTTATATTGTTAGCAGCTGCATTTGAAGATTTGTTTTGAGTACTTCATGACTGCTGTTAACTGTCATTTACAAAGCCAAGTTTGAAAGTCATTTGTTTTAAGATCTTCCTGGAATGTACATATCTGACAGAGAATGTTAAACTTTATTTCAGACGGGGAAGAAAAATTACTAGAAGACCCTGCGCCTCTAAAAAACCTTCGACGACCAGAAGGTCGTCGTTCACAAATTTTTTTGCGTTACAAAGATCATCCTGAGAAAGCAGTTGTAAAATTGTATGGTGGTTGGCTTAGGTAAGTTATAGTTATTGGTCTACTCAATGGAAGAGATACCTTTAGACTGCAGAGTTTTCTGTTTGTATTAATATCTGTTCATAAATTTTTGCTATATGCTTTTATTATTGTAATATTTCATTTAGCAAATCATCATTTTCAAAAATTTTTCTTCCTTTGAAATAATTTAAAGTTTTTAGAGTTCCAGTAACTTTTTGTTCTCTCTTGGTGACAAAGGAGACACTTGTACAAAATGCAGTAGCAGAAGCTTTAGATCGATTTGGATTAGATAAAAATTCAGCAAATCGTTATAATTTAATTGAAGTATCTCTCGATCGTGGTGTTGCTGAAAGAACTGCAAATCCTCATGAAAATATGCTACAACTTGTTCGAAATCTGAAGAAGGTGTGAGAGATTCTACAAACTTGATTAAAGTTTTTCTTCAAAATGGGATGTTCTATCATTATAAAAAGTACTGTACTATAATTTTTATCACTGTAGATAAGGTTTGAATCTGTTTCTAGATTTTATTTCGACCATCATGTGGTCACTTATGATTTTTTTTATGATTTTTTTTGCAATTATGAAATTACAGGATTCTTTACGACGTTATCACGTAGTTCGGTTCTATGTACAAGAGAAAGATGATCCACATGATCATGCTGTTTTTGTGGGCAATTTACCAGTTTCGCTAGCACAAAGACAATATGAAAGGATACTCTTGCGGTTGCTTGGAGCTAAAGGTTATTTACTCGAGTACATTAATTAGGACCTTTTATAATATGATACATTTGTTTTGTACTGTGCCTTTGTAAAAGGATGCGTCATCTGTTTTATTTTTTTAGTTACTTTCACGATTCAATTTATTTCACTTTCTTTCTGTTTCTGTAAGTAACTTAGAGCTACGGAGCATTATAATCGATGGAAGTTATTCATTTTTTGCACATATTAATATCATTCTGTTCAAGTACTATTATGTCAGATTCTTTTATTCAGTCAAGTTCCTTGTTTAAATTATGATACATTGTAATGAAGTCTGCTTATGGATAATCTAGATTCTTAATAATTAAAAACGAAAATATAGATATTGAAAAATCTTCAAAGATTATATTTATCTGCTTCATATAATCTGCTTAACTTTCAGAAAAACCATTTACTGCCATTGGCCCAATATATTTTGAATATGGTTCATTGGTGATTACATTCAATACAGCAAAAGCTGCCACTTCAGCTGTTCAGCGCCTACAAAATGCAGTATACGAAGAAAAAAAATTAATTGTTTTATGTCTTCCTAACGTTCAGGTAAATCACTAGTAGAAATGTTCATGATTTAGCGTTATTTCATGATTTAACGTTATTATATGACGTTTAATATCTGAGAAATTTAGCTATTGTATTGATTCTATTTATTTTAGTAAAAAAAATATTCATAATGACTGATAAGTCATGATCAAAATTTTGCATGAGATTAGTGTTCTAGAAAGAAAAACATGTATGTTATTTTTTAAAATCGTATTTTTAGCCTCACATGTTGACGCAGGATTGTGAGCCATTGCTAGTGCTTGTAAATGTTAAAAGTGGTGGTTGTCAGGGAGGCGAATTAATTAAAGCATTTAGACGATTATTGAATCCTTTTCAAGTGTTTGATGTACTGAAAGGTGGTCCGTTAGTTGGGTAGGTAGTATTTTTATTTTATTTCATGCTCGACAAACAAGAAAACAGTTCATTTCTTGAAAATGAATTGCTTTCACAAAACAGCATAAATGTTTTATGAATTTCTTTACTTTAAGATTGTATGTTTTCCGAAATGTTCCGAAATATAAAATTTTGGCATGTGGTGGTGACGGTACAATCGGTTGGGTTCTACAGTGTCTAGATATCGCTAAACAGGTGCATTTTTAAGATAATTTTAGATTTAATTAAATGAAAAAGAATCAATAATTTGTATGTTTCGTTTATTCATCTTTGACAGAAGTGTTAAATTAAATGCTGGAATTATTCAATTTTAATTCAATTTTCAATTTACTATTACATTATCAAGTGAAAAACAATTTTTGCAGGATGCCGCGTGTTTTTCTCCACCATGTGGCATCGTTCCTTTGGGTACTGGTAACGATCTCTCTAGGGTTTTAAGATGGGGAGGCGGCTATACTGGTGAAGAAAATCCTATGGACATTCTTCGGGATGTTATAGAAGCTGAAGAAGTACGTTTAGACAGGTATGGAGAATTTTTGAATTATATTAATGTATGATGCTTATTTAGCTGCTTTATCAGTCATGTTGAACCACAAATCGTCATTGATTTTAGCAGTTTTTTTTCACTTTTTTGTTGTTGAATAAATTGATATGCAGGTGGGCCGTAGTATTTCATGAAGAAGAGCGTACTCAACCGCCTACAACGTCTAGTGTTGAACCAAGTCCATATGCAGATCAAATTATGAACAACCCTGAAGACCAAACTTCAATGATCATAATGAATAATTATTTTGGGATCGGAATAGATGCTGATGTTTGTCTACAATTCCATAATAAGGTTAGAGTGTACTTTGATGAGGAGATACAATTTTGTAACTTGTGATCATATAGTGTTAAAATACGACAGGCTAATTGATTACTTATTGCAGTTTAATTAAAGTATTTTCTAGAGGGATGCAAACCCGGAAAAGTTCAGTTCACGATTGTTTAACAAAACTCAATATGTTAAAATTGGTTTACAAAAAGCGTTTTTTGAAAGAACTTGTAAAGATCTTTGGAAACGGGTCGAACTTGAGGTAGATGGTAAATTGATAGAATTGCCATGTATTGAGGGTATTATTGTTCTGAACTTGCTCAGGTATGAGATTATTCTACCTTTCCTCACAGAATTGTTTCTTTCTCTAGAAAAATTAGGAGACAATAGATATTAAGCAACAGCGCAATGGCATTTTTTTAAATAAATGATGGAGTGCATATTTTACGAAATTGTAAACAACACATCTACATGATTCTTTTAGTCATTTTTAAACTTTATTGAACTGAAATAAAATTAGACATCTTTAATGACGGATAATTGATGAACTGAAATAAAATCAGACATCTTTAATGACAGATAATTTTCAGTTGGGGAAGTGGTGCAAATCCGTGGGGTTCAGCAAAGGAAGAAGGGCAGTTCCAAAAGCCGACGCATTACGATGGACTTCTCGAAGTAAACTTTTTCCATTTGGTAGTACTTTTCTAGTCTCTTGTTCCATGAGGAAAACCAACTACAAATATTTATATTAGAAATCTCTTACTTCATGTGCCTTAAAAATTTTTTATTGAATTTTTCCTTTTCGCGCATTATGTTTCGGAAAATGTCTCAGAATTAATTTGCTGTAGGTGGTTGGTATTTCTGACGTTTCACGACTGGGTTTGATCCAGTCCAAACTCTCAGCCGGTATAAGGATAGCTCAAGGAGGAAGTGTGAGTTTTATTAAATGAGTAATATCTTGGAATTCATAGTTCAGATGTGGGTAACATTATCAAAACTTTTGTGTCAGTGGTTTTTTATTCTCTAATTAACTCGGGAACATATTTGCTGTCTAATAAATTTTATCTCTGTTTTTTGATGTCATTCAATATTTCATTTGATTTTTTCAGAATCGTGGGTTGAAAATTATTTTTCTATTCAATTTCAATTAATTGACTTTACAAATGAGATTTTGCAAATGAAAAATGTGTTTCAAATAATTATATCAATTTTGTAGCGGCATATCCCTACTTTAATTATACTGAAATACTAATTTACCATTGAATGTATATTATTATAATTTATGTTGCTATTATTATAATAATGTAAAAATTGGAGTACTTTTAGCAGTACTAATGGTTACTATTTGTGTAACAAGTTGTGATTAAAAAAATGAAAGACAGTTTTCAGATAAGGATCACAACACACGAAGAATGGCCTGTACAGGTTGATGGTGAACCACATATACAACCACCAGGGACCATAACGATTCTGAAATCTGCCCTTAAAGTAATAATTTTTCTTAATTAATTTATTGCAAGTTTAAAAGATGGTTTCATTTATCGCAAGAAAATATTATGTAAAGGCTATTCTGAATGATAAGCGCAGAGAAATGAAGCCTTTGTAGTGTTTTTTTTTTTTAATTTTGCTTACCATTACATGTATATTTTAGTTGCCATCAGTTAATTTTATTCAGATCGTGGCTTTCTCTAACAAAATCCCTATTTAAATTTGAAAAGACTTGATATTAGGATGGTATTGGTTCTTCTCGTTATTTTTTCACTCTCTGTTGTGATTTGATGCAGAGTTACCGATATATGTATTAATCGAGTGAGGAAGAATATTAATATTAATAAAGTTTAAATTTATTTGTCTAAATTTATATATTAATGAAGTTTGATTTAATGTTTTACAATTATATCCTTATTTTTTCTCTCCGTTATATATATCCAGAAGTTTAAGCCATTTTTTTTAGTTTTTTTTTGGATTGCAAGTAAGGGATTGTGTGCATAATGAGGACGATTGTTTTGTTACATGATGTGAGAGTGTAATATAATCATGTAGATATGAAGTTGCATATTTGGATTTTAATTTTTAAATGTTTGTCGTTTAATTATTGGATTTTTCCCCATCAAATAGGTTTCTTCAGAAAAGCTTACTTTATATAAATGTAAAGCTAAAATTAGGTGCTTTGCATTCATGTTAATGCTAAGCATTGTTTGCAAGATTTTTCTATGCTTTCAAATTTTTACATACTGAAATATTTGAGTTACGGAAGTAAAAAAAGCCTTTAATTTTTTTCTAAATTCGACGATTTTTTTCTTCGTAGATGAATCCATGATTATTGATTCAAAAAAATGATGATATCAGCTTCTGTTTCAGTCGTATTGGTTTTTTAGGATTCTAAAAGTCTCTCTAATGAATCCGGTCAGAGTCACGTTAATTGCGTCTAGCATAACAGTTAAGATATAAAAACATAAAAATGTGCTTTGTTGAATTTAATCTAACAGAAGAATTTTCAATTTTTGATTTATGGTCATCGTGAACAAGTAATAACAAATATGTTTTAGATCATAAATATAACAATGTTAACCTTTCTATGTAATTAGTTAATCATTCATAATATTATTCTTTAGTCCTTTTACTACATCAATTCATTAGCAAAGTTGCGTTAGGTACAATTCTCCTGAGAATTATATGATTTATAAATAACTTCATAATATTGATTGTTTATACTGATACAAAAAATTCCTGATGAATTTTATTTCTGATTACATTAATGTAATTCAAAAGCAATTACCAAGTATAATACGACGACATTTTAGATGTTTTTTCAAGACTAAAGCAAAGTTTCATATTTAATTATTACTCTTCTAAGACTTTTTAACTTGTTACGTAGCTGATTTTGGTACTCATACTAGACTTTGCTTTCATGGTTGCTTACTTGAAAATATATGACATCAATTAGGTCTTCGTAATCTTTCTTCCTGAATTTAGATAGCTGTGGCTTTGAATGACTTATTTTGGTACTATTTAAAAAACAACAAAAATAGACTAAAAATTTTTAAAATATTTTTATTGAGTTGATAACTTGAGCAAAATTTAATTGCTTAATTTTGGAAAGTTTTTTATTTTGTCTTGGTGTAAGCTTGCTTTTTATTTTCGAATGAACAATTAATGCTGTTAATCAGTAGTAATTTAATGAAGTGCTGCTTTCAATATTTCCATGGATTTGAACAAATAATTAAGTGTTGAAAATGTAATTAATTTTACTGGCTTGTTTTTATTAAAAAACAGTTACTAGTAAGAGGTGTATGGTACACCTAATCATGGTTGCATGCTTTGTGTACCTTAGCAAAGGCTTCATTTCTAATAAGAGGGTCCCTATATAGCAGTTTCTCATGATGAGCACTCCGAAGTAACTAATATTATCTATTTATTAGTTCATTCCACCTCTAGCTTTCAGTATTGTCTCAATTTCATGGTAGATTTTGACAGTATGCATATTTTTAGATGAATAATTGTAAGCTAAAAAAGAGCAGAGCAAGATAATTATGGTAATAGCTTTCAAAATTTCTAAACTATAAATCTTGTTTTCTTCAGAAAATAATTAGTAAGTTTTAAGACTGGTTTTTATTATTAAGGTTAAAAAATATATTGATAATTGAGATGAGCAAATGAGAGGGCCTTTTTTATCTTTTTAACTAAGTTTGTTCACTCTTTAAAAAGAAGTTGCAAAACGTCCAAGTAAGCACTTTTAAACGAATTATGCATAAGATTATTGTGGGTTAGTAAGTGTACTAGAGATGTCTTTTGAATGTTCAGGCAAAAATGCTGAAGAAAGCGAAGAAATCTCGGCGTAATACAGCATTTTCATCAATGAATTTGACTGTTCGAGCGGTACATAGCGAAGGTTCGCCATCACCTGTTGAGATTCATCCATATTCATCAAGAGATAACGATGTTGGTTCATTATCGCATGGTAGAAGTACACCTGATGGATTATTGTTCACTACCCCAACTTCAGTTAACATAAATGGTGATGATGATGATGAGGAAGAAGGCGATGATTTCCTATGACATGTTGCGGAATTTAATTTGTATTTTTGGGTAGATTGTAGAAGTTATAGTAATAGTAGGAAGTAAGTAATAAGTAAGTATTATTTTCTAATGTGAAACACGGATGACCCAGCTGATGCTAGTCTTTTTTAGACTTTTAACAAAGTTTAATGTCAGTTTAAAAATTATTGGTTCTTCGCTGCTTCTCATATATTTATTTATTTTACATAAATGTACTTTAGGTAAACTGGACTTATTAATATGTGATAATTTGCGTACAAAAATAAGTGACATTTGGCTTTGCTCTTATGGCTGTTTTACTTAATCATTTCAGTACTAATCACAAAAATATCTGATAAGATGGTCTACTTATTTACCGTACATTATATTGCAAAATTAAATTAAAATTCATGTTTAATTACTATTATTCTGATTATGAGTTAATTCAGAGAACATCTACACTTCCATCCATGTTTTTTTTCTTAGTTTCGTCACTCTCTGTTTTTTGTTCTTAGTGGGATTTTTGAAATCTTTATTTCTTACGGTGCCTAGTTTACTTTAGATTGTATATGGTAACTTCTGACTAGGATTATACCAAGTTATTATTAAATTTAATTGCATATTTGATCATCATCAGTGTATTCGAAGTTTTAAGAGAAATATAGCCATTGCATTAGTAAGCATATTTTTTGTGATACATAATAATAGAATTTGAATGCTGTTGTCTAGAAGCAGAATTTATTCTACAGAAGTATTATTTGGACAACAAAAGAGGGTTATAGTTAAGTTACCTACGATAGTTAAGTATTATTATCATTGTAATCTTTTCTTCATATCCTTTATACGTGTTCGATTATTTGAAGATCTCTATTTCTTTGTACTAGTTTTATATAGCTGTTATGAATCTAGTCGTTGTTTCTTCGATATGTTGTTTTACTAGTAACTTAAGTCAGTGCATGTACTATTACAGCTGTTTCGTTCGTATTTAGCATTGTTATTTTCATATGAAGTGTAAATATTAGCTGAAAATCTAATATTTTTCAAACATTTCTTATGTAAACAAAATAGTTCCCGTGATAATAAATTTGAATAATTTTAATCAGCTCTCGGAACATAATTCAGATACTTCTATTCACAGTTTTACCAAGAAATCATTTTATCAATAAAAGTAGAGGACCCCCTTAGTGAACAAGAAGTCAGATGTGTGAGTAACTTTTTAAATAAACTTGCATAAAAACAAAAACTACTGAAAATATAGCTCTTATATACTTACTATACTAGCTGCTAGGAATTTTTGTGTAGAAACTTCTATCACAAAGTAAGTTATCTGAATAAGTGCAGGAGTGCTTTGAGCGCTTATTTATCAGTACGATATCTTCTTATTCATTGGTACGCTGATAATTTTGCATGAATTTTTAGTTTCTTAATAACTAATCAAAATTTTTTTGTCATACTTATTCTGAGTAAATTTTGAAGTGAAAAAATATATTCAGATTAACTAGTCTGTTGTAGATATTACTATTTTCTTAATTATTGATGTTACTATAATTTGTACTATAAAAATAATCTTTATTTGTAAAAATTACATGCAGGCAACGATGTTACGAAAACCATCATTGAAACGAATGAAAAAAAAAGAACGTGGTGTGGATGCAAAAAAAATTGCACCTTTAGCTCCTCAAGAAGATGATCTATCTGAAGTTGTTCATCACAGTGAGCATAAACGATCTTATTTCAATTTTCGAAAAAAAGTACGTCAACATCGATCGGGTAAATCATTGTCCAGGTAAACTTTTAACTCAATCAAGCAATAAATAGATACGTTAAATTAGTTTTTGTGGATGAAAATAGCTTTTTATTGAGGTAGTAAAATAAAGTCAGTGGTACATTCGGGTTTAATGTTATTATAAATAATGTTGTTAATTTTCATTTTAATAAATTTTTTTAAAGTTTTTGTATCAAAAAAAAAGTTTAATTGTATTTCAGATGCGAACGACGTGGTTCTATTGGTGCAAGCAAGCAAAAAGGCGTAGAAAAAGAATGTCATTCCGCTATAGATTGTTCAGAACATTCCTCGATCACTGATATGTATTAACTGATCAGTCATTAATATTTCACTAATAGTACTAACTGTAGTTTTGTAGATTTTTGAGGCTCATCCGACTGAGTGATTGATTAATCTAATGTAATTATATTCTGAGTAATGATAGTGTTTGTTGTTTTGCATGAAAAATAGTTTTAAAATATTTTTGTTTTAATTTCAGCAGTATAATTTTTACACACTCAAATAATATTGTAGAAAATAGCAGTATTTATTATCTTAAAAGTTATATATTTTTACATGAAAAAGATTTAAAAATGATTTTTAATTTAATTCTTCATACAAAAAATTTTATAAATGTTCAAGGTTCTTGAAATTAAAATGTAATTACTAGCATTTTCAACTTTTTATGACATTATGCATATTTTCAACTGTCATTTGATGTCTGCCTCAAGTATGAATAATTTTTGAATATATGAGATCTTAATTAGAATCAATACAGTTTTCAAATTATTATCAATACAGCAAACAAGGAACGGGCGAATGTGAATTGAATGTTATAAGTTATAACCATTATGTTCTGTATTACATTTGAGTGAAAACTAGCATAGAAAAATCAAACAAAAATAAAAGAGAATGAATTGTTATGTTTTGTGATTTTTTAAATTAGCATTATTTGTTGAAAAGTACTATTATGTACTTATTTATTCCTTCTACTCAGGGAAATAAGTTTGTCTTTGCTTAGTTAGTAAAAGTTTTGTGATTCAAACTAGTATCATATTGTTCTAAGCATTTATTTAAAGAATTATATCGAATTGTGTCTCGATATTAGGATCTCTTTGTTAAAATAGGCAAGGAATAAGATTATTTTGTTTTCCAAGCAAGTCATATTTTGTTCTTAGATTTATTTGTGTGCATTTTTTTTTCAAAGTAAAGTGATCTTGTTTGATATGATTATATTAGTTTAAGATACATTTTTAGTATGATTTTTATATATTTAGTACGATTTTAAATTATTTCTTGATAAGTAATTGTGTAATGTATAATCATTTAAATAACAAAATTTATTTGTTAATTTGAAAAAAGTGTCAAGAGTAAATTTTTTAATTAAACTTTTATTTTTACTAAAATATTTTCGATAAAAGCGCAAAATTTACTTGCAAAGATAGCTTTTTTAGATGAGTTGATTTGTACTTCATAGTTGAAAAATTTTAATTATCAAATTTAAATATACATTTCTGATGGATACTCGAAAAATATGCAAATAAATAGTTGTGCAGTAAGTGGATAGATAGCGTTGGGTCATTAAACTACCAGATAGTTTTCAGTTCACCTCATTTCTTCATTTAAAATTTTTTGCTTATTTATTTTCTTGAAAATCTATCGATAAGAATTTTAGAGAAGTTGTAATTCTGTAGAATTTGTAAAGAAATAGATGAAAATTTACTACTGCACAAAGTCATTTTGTTCTAATTATCGTTTTTCGTGTGGCAATTACACCTATCAATCATGAGAAAGATGTGATATTTATTGTATACTTTCAGTAATACCAAGCAAACATTGTCAGTGAGGTTAAAAAGTTTCGCTTGTTTTTGTATGGAGCATTTGCTATAGCACAAGTTTGCCAGTTTATTAGAAAAGTAATTTGGATATATTAAAATGAGTAATTCGAAGCAATTTTATTTTTGTTCTAAATTAAATCAGTTTTGAAATAGTTGACATAATGGATAACAAGACTTTTTCATATTGGTAGATGACTGTCACAAATATCTATTCCTTTAGTATTTAGCTCAGAAAGAAAATCTAACCTTGGAAATTGAGAATAGCATTGAATTTCATGCTCCACTACTCATATTTAATGCTATTAATATACCTTGATAGCTTATCTAACTTCTAAAGTCCATAATTTGCATAGTAATTTGTTGTCTTACTTTTTAAAATGCTTTTAATCCTTAAGTGAGATTCATTCAGTCATAGAAATCTTTAGTATTGCAATACACTAAATAAAATTACTTTTTATAAATTGTAATAAATATTGGTAATGAAATAAATTTTAAAATATCAAATATTTTTTCTTAATTATTTTAATTTTATTTATAATTTTCTACTGAAAACTTATGATGCGATGAAATTATGAAGATCTTTACTGAAATTCTTCGTTACCAAATTTTTAACAAGTAATAAAACATTCTTAATATCGATGTTATAAATTACTAGTAATTATAATTTTTACAAGCAACTGCATGAAGAAAAGATGGATTTATCGTTATTCTATGTCTTTAACTTTGTAATAAATTCTTTAAATGTATTAATAATTAAAGAATATATTAATAATTAAATTATGTATGAATTGGTCACATCATATTTCCTCTTTAATGAATAATTTGATTGAAAAATTTAGTTCTTAATTTTTATATTTTGTAAAAGTTGTATTTATTTGTTCCGTCCATCCCATATTTTCAAATATTAGTATTCAAAATTAACCTAAGCAATTTGACTTCAGTAATAATAATAAAATATCAAAACAAAAGGTCATTTTAGGCATCCTCACAAAATTATTTTTTCTAGTTATACGTAATAAATTATAAGATTAATAATATTAATAATTAATCATGCTGAATTATGTATACATTTATACTACAGTAAATATGCACCGAAAAATGAGCTAAAAATAATTTTTGTCTTTCGTTCAAGCGAAAATAGTATTTGATTGTTTATTTGTCTATCTGATAATGACTGAAAATAAATAACTTTTTTTGTCAGAAAAAAATTCAATCATTTTTCAACGAATTAGGCGCAAAATAAATTTTTGTACTGAAATACTTTTCACTTTCTTGATTTATATGCTTTTTCCCGATGACTAATTTCTTGAAATTAAAATGAATGAATCACTGAATGATCTCAAAATCAGAAAAGTGAGATAGACTTTATGGTTTAAAAAATATTTGTGAAGAGTAATTATTGTTATTTACAAAAAAATTATAGTAACATCAGCAAGTTTATTTAGCAGTAATTAAAAATAATTAATGAAAATTTTTAAAATTCGGTAAATTAACAGTGAAAGTTTTGTGATTGTATTTGATAATAATTAAGCCTTTAACAAAAATCCAACTAAAACTATTGAAACGCAATTTAGGATTTTACCAGAAATGTAATATTCGCTCTATAAGATTACCAGCTTTATATTTATACTTCCAGTAAGCTTTTTAAAATTTTTAAAATATTAGTTCTTTATATTATCAAACTTATTATAAAAAATAAAATAAATTTTGATCAATTTAAAAATTTTCAGGCTAGCCATGAAAAATGTTCTTTTGTAACAAATTATTTGAATTTTGTACACCTGATAGTAATATAAGCGTATACCTACTGCTAATATTGATGAATCCAAGTATTTATTCAAATCCGACTCCAAATTATCGTATTTCAGAGGCTTATACAGAAAGTCAGAATCACTTCAAGGCAAACTATCATCGTATATTAATAATGGAGTGCTGAGTAGAAAACAGCAGTACAATAATCCGTATGCCAGAAGTTATGATCCGTACCTGTATGATATCGAAACATACAGTAAAGGAAGAAAAAAACGTATTAGTTTCAGAGTTTTTTTAAAAGATTGTATTTAAATTTCACAAATTATTAATTAATTTGACTATATTTGATATCTGCAAATTTAAGAGTATAAAAATAAAATCTTAATTTTGATCTTGTTATTTCTGATGCAAACTCTTATAATCATTATCATTAATGTATTATGATTCTCCTTTTTATCATTAGTTGAGGCTTCTGAAAATTTCTTCAATATTTAAAATTAAATCTTTTTTTCTCGAATATAGTCAACTTTACTAATAATTTGTAAAAATTAGAACAATAATGAAAGCAGACGTCATATATTTATTATTTTTAAAATGTTGGTTTTGAATAAAAGAACTTCAACGTAAATACATTACTTAAAAAAGTAAAAACAAAAAAGAAACATGAAATTTAAATGGTCATTTTAGGTCGCCATTAAAATTTTAATGCAGTTAATCAGTCACAATTTTTAGATCACCTAATTTTTAATTTAGATCATAATTTAAAAACAAAAATTTATTTCTTTACTAAAAATAATATGTCATTCGAAAAAATAAAACATTACTCATTGAGTGGAAAAGGATAATTCGAGAATTTACAGTTGTAATATAATTTTATTATTACTTCTACATCATCATTATTTTTGCGTCCATTGTTTTTTAATGACATATATTTGTGATAATTGAAATATTTTACTAAAGCTGCGAAATTTTGCAATTTTTTGAGTATTTTCTTCTAATTTATTCATTTTAATTACACTTAAATCATTCATCAATTCGAGTATTTAAATTTAGATTGCCATTCAGTTTTCTAAATTCGTATTCGATTATTTATTGCTTTTGCAAGTATCAAACAATTTTTGACCTTTTTAGGACGTGAAATGAGTAAACAATCTTAAGACAAAATAATTTATTTACATATTTTAAATAAATTCCAAAAATTACAATTTCAGACTTTTTTAAAACTAATCTGTGTGTAATGCGCAATCCTGCCAATTCAATTCTGCAAATTATTAATGAGTACGAAAATACAAACATTTCTCTGATAAACCCAAAATCACTTCACATTCCTTGCAGAGGTTTTTTGACTAGTTTATTACTACGACTATCATTATAGTCTTTACTAGCGATTATTTTTAATAATTATTTTTAATATTTTAATAACTTTTTATTTTTAATTATTAAAATTTTAATAACTAGGCATACTTTACTACTTTGCTATCTTCTAACTTGTTTTATAATCTTGATATCCGTGTTTTTTCTTACAAACAGTATAATTTGGATGCATCCAATTTGTTCATTGCAAGTATAAAATTTAAATTGATTGAATATACTTCATTACTATTTACTTTTTAATTTCAGTATATAATTCAAGTAAATTTATAATTAGTTAATATAATTTAGTTAACGTTCATGAAAAATAATTTGTATAAATTTTTGTGAATAAAAACTTGAAGAAATTTGCATGATTTAAATTATATA